ATGGGCTTTCAGTGCGTTCCAGGCATTTGCATGCGTTTTGTGTGCGTTTGCATGCGTTCCAGAGCAGGTAAAATAGGGCCTGCTGCAGTTTTTTTACCTGCTCTGGAACTGAACGCTGCGATGTGAACTGGAGCTAAAACAGCCATTGGACTACATTGGACGCAGTTTTGCTCCGGTCTGTAACTGCTCTGCACCTGCTCCGCGCTTGGTGTGAACAAGGCCTAAGTAACATTTAAAAGGAAAACATTGCTCTGTTAATTTTAAACAGACTTTATTTGAACAATTACATTAACAATAATACAATTCTAAATAGACTATTACTGTACCAGTAGACCAACTTATAAATAACAATAAACAGAGATGTCAAAGGTTACTATGGCTTGTCTGCATTGTAGTAGCTACACTGGTCTCTCACAATGTAGAAAAGTAATGGTACTGGAGCTGAAAAATGTCAGCTTGAGAAACGGGAAGGGAGCAATTGGGCATGGGGTTTTCCCCAACATGATAATATAACTATTTCTGGTGAGGAGACGGCCACTGAAACGCTGTGGCTATTGTTGAGTAAAGTCATCACTGTGTAAAAACGTGACAGCTGATGTGACTGTATTGACAGCCGGCGCCTTTCTCACACGTTGGCAGGACTTAGCTCAATCTGTCTTGCACATTGCCGGCTGTCACTACAGTTACATTAGCTGCTACGTTCTCATAGAGGTTCCAGCTTCATCTAATAATAGCACCAGCATTTCAGTGCCTGGCTCCCCACCGGCAATAGCTCTCAAAGAAGACTAACCAGAGAGCTTTTCAGTTGTCATGGGGACTGAGAATTTTTTAGCCCTGTATTAGCAGTGGATTGTTTTTCAGTTCTGGAAAGAACAAGCTACATTACTACATATACAGCTTTACTACAGTTTGCGTAATCTTACAGCTATCCCCTTGAACACACAAAGAATGAATGCTTGATCTGCCGGAGTGCACACAGACAGGTGATAGGAAAAATCGAAGCTGCAGGGAAATAAAGGTTAAATGCTGCATGTAACCAGGTGATGAGGCTGTCTGAAACTGTCAGGTATTTTAACACACTAACACTGATTTACTGTATGTCCAATGATGTTTATCTGTGGGCATCCACGCGTCAAATTCACTGTTCTGGTCACATTTTGCACACAAGAAAACAACCAGATGGCAGGAAAAAAAAAGAACAGAGAACTCTAGTTCTCTACATTAATAGTTGTCCAAACTTTTCTATTGGAACTTCACTGCCCAATCTCTGCTCACCTCAGATTCACCTGCTGTAAACATCATCTTCCAAAAAAAAAAAGGAATGATGCTAAATGTGACTCTATTGTATTGTAACAAATTGTTGAGTGCGTTTGTCGTTTGTTTTGCTCTATTGTATAACTTACCCCCATGCAAATATGAAAAAAATATGAATTATCCAGTTGTGCATTAAAAGAGAACTATGGGGCAACCTTTTTTGCCCATAGTTCTCTTCAGGGTCAAGGGAGGGCATATACTGTGTCCTTCGGTGGCACAGAACTCAGCATATGCTGAGAGCGCAGGGCCACTCCACAGCTGGGATGGATTCCGACAATACTGTTGAGATCCACCCTGCTGGCTGATTGACAGCTGGTTCGGCCTCTCTAGAGGCAGAGCCAGCTGTACCTGCCCCCTTGCCTGTCCATTCCTCCAGTCAAAGGGGAGGGGGGAATCCCTGCAGGGAGCAGTGACTGACAGTCACCACTCTCTGCAGGGAGAGGATCGGGAAGTCAGAGATCGGCGGTATGTGTTCGCTGACTTCCCGATCAATATAGCCGACCTGAGACAGCTTCTTTGTCACAGGTCGGCTTGCATTATGGGGATGAGTGTTTTGCACTCACCCCATAATTTTCCTTTAATTTATAAAATAAATGATTGTATGTTTGCATACAACTGCCTTTTATGCTTTAGGCTGTCACGACATTAGTCTCTTGTAATCCTCAGCACCACTAAGACTTGTAGTGGGACTGTCAGCAGTCAGTCAGAGCTCTTTTGCTTTCCACTAGTGCTTCTCAACCTAAAGGTTTCTCCAGAGGGTAGCTAGATGTGCAGGCATGATCTCAACCCCCTGAGCCATCTATGTTGTGACCAGGTTCTAAAACATAACCGGTCACATTGTATGACTGTTACTGTTTAAGCAGAGGCATTTCTATGGGAAAAAAATGCCTATGGCAAGCGCTGAAATTGCACCCCTTTCTAAATATCTGACAGCAATACAAATACTTTAGTGGCACACATATACTGTACATATACAGCTAAACCGACCTGTGAAGTGGCCACTAGATGGCGCTGAGGAGTATGCTCCTCAGATCCATCTAGTGACCATAATGTAGTATTATATCACAATATATTTGACCTAGAAAGAAAATATATCAAGAATGTAATTATTTGCCATTATTCACAAAATGAACATTCATGGATATTCACACGGTTAGGGGGTCCTGCAAATTGCTTGTAAATAGACCTCAAAGAGTAGTGACAGACATCCCTGTCAGCTCCCTTTTGCTGGAAAAACAGTGCCATAAAGACTGCAGGTAACACCCAGAGGATGAAACCCAACAGGCCTAAAACTCAGGCCTTTGAGTCAAGGCCAGGAACAGCTTTACAAGATTTAGGGGGTTATTCACCAAGCTGCCAAAGGCAGCCGAATGAAAGACCAAGCTGAACCACAGCCTCTTCAAAGCTGTGTACAACTATTTTTACATGGGCTGAATTCGGCTCAGTTCCTGTCCGTTCGGCTCAGCCGGACATTCTCATCTCATCCTGCTGAACAGAAGGAAAGAGCCCATATTCCTCAGCCAATGTAACGAATGGATCAGCTGAAGAGAATTCCCAGCTGTTCACCTGCTATTCTATGACAGTTCTCTGTCCTCTAATGGGATGTAAACAAATGGGTGGAGCAAGCCCTGTGATGCCACAACTCGCTCCGCCTATTTGTTTACATTCAGGTCAGGTGTAATTTTGCAGCGGGAGTTCGGCGGGATCGGACAGGTAGGTGGGCAGCGTGAATTTTTTTTCTTTTGGCGAGTTGGCGGCCGTCGTTCATCGCGATTGACATGGATCTAATTCCCTGGATGACGTGATTGACCAGTGGATAACATCGATAGACCTTCTTGTCAAAAACTGGCAGGTGTTTTTTGTTCAAATAAAGCACTTTTTAATATCCATCTGGATGTCACACCATTTCTTAAAACTCAATCATTCAAAAACTGAGCTCTTGATATTTCCTCTTGCCCGTGCACCTTTCCCCAACATTTCAGTTGAGATTGATAACACAACTATCCAACCCTCCCCCCATGCCAAGGTCCTAGGTGTCATCCTTGACTCGAACCTCACCTTTCTTCCCCACATCCAAATCCTGCCGCCTTCACCTTCGCAACATCTCCAAAATACACCCCTTCCTCACCAAAGAAACCGCAAAACTACTCATACCCTCACTTGTTATCTCTCGTCTTGACTATTGTAACTCCCTCCTCATTGGCCTTCCACTACACAGGATATCCCCCTTCAGTCTATCAGGAATGCCGCTGCCAGACTCATCCACTTGACCAACCGCTCATTGTCTGCAACCCCCCTCTGCCAATCCCTGCACTGGGTTCCACTCGTCCAGAGGATAAACTTCAAAATATTAACAGTCACTTATAAAGTCATTCACAACTCTGCCCCCGGATATATCTCAGACCTTGTCTCAAAAAATCACCCTAACCGTCCACTCCGCTCTTCCCTAGACCTCCTGCTTTCCAGCTCCCTTGTCAACTCCTCCTATACCCGCCTCCAGGACTTCTCTAGAGTCTCTCCCATCCTCTGGATTTACCCCAACCTGTCCGTCTATCTCCCACCCTGACTGTCTTTAGGCGTTCCCTGAAGATTAATCTCTTCAGGGAAGCCTATCCCACCTCAACCTAACCACTCAACCATCACGTTCTCAAACAATTCATCCCCACACAGCTACCTCCTCATGTATCATTTCCCCCTACTCTTTCAGATTGTAAGCCCTCAGGGGCAGGGCCCTCCTTACCATCCTGTCTTGAATTGTATTTTAATTGTAATGTCTTCCTTACATTGTAAAGCGCTGCGCAAACTGTTGGCGCTATATAAATACTATGTAATAATAATACTATGTAATAATAATAATAACAGTGTTGTGTGTTTATTCATGTGCTGCAGTGCATTGTTAGAACGCATCATAGTACATGAGTTTTTTCTTTAAAAAAACATTATTTTAACTGTTGCAACGCATGGCAAATCTTTGTGACGCATTGCCGTGCATTGTGATATCTTGTGTTGCAATTTTATATATACGCCTGTATCATTTTATCACAACACAAACACAGCGCAAAAACGATTTTTAACATAAATCGCTTATTTACAGTTTTGCGTTCCTTCATTTATCTTTTCGCAAAAAGGCACAATTTCAAATATTTGCTATTTATTAACTCAATACAGTTTTATCTTTTAGATTTAGTCAGAAAATACGTTTTTTTGTGCGCTGATACTGATTTTAGGGCTTTATCAATTGAATTGTGCATTTTTATTGGTTTAATATTAATTTGAGAAACATTTGCGCAATTATCGCAGGGCCTATAAATTTAGTAGCGCCATCTTTTTATTCTAACAGGCCTGCGCTTTCAGAAAATATATGGTTTGGGGGGTCTTTTACAAACGCTAGCAACGCAGCAATTGAAAATCATATCAATGGGAAAAGCTGCAAAAATGGTGTGGCCAGCTGAGTTGCAAAATGTTCCAGAGCGCTTGGCAGCGAAAGGGTTAAAGCATGGTTCTGCTTTGTGTGATACAAACCTCATAGGTGACAGTGAGAACTGTCCGCACAAAGCTGCACAAAGCTGCACAAAGCTGCGGTCACAGTCCACTTAAAAGTCATGGCATTTGTTTATGTCCGTCTCCAGCCGGCCCCGCCCCTATAAATTCCCACCCAGCGGAAACGCCCGCCCCTTCTGCACGTGCTGAGGAGTGACCGGGCTAGGGGGAAACAGGAACACACAGAGGTAATGGCGGGCTACAGCCTGCTCCATACTGCGTGCAGCGAGTGTTCAAGCGCTAGGAATTCACAGTGAAACGGGCACACGCTGTGCCTGGACAGCCGCCATGAGGGCGTGCATTGTGCCTCATACAGCTGACACACGCACGTAAGGTTAGGTTTCACGGTGAGGTTTAGATTGGCACTGTCACTGCGGCTTTGGCGCGTTACACACAGACAGCATGCTGCTGGACAAGTTACTGCCCCAGTATGTCGGCGGCTGGTGCTGCTGAGTACAGGAATGCTGCTGTCTTTCACCATACCATTGCTGTCAGTTTTTTTTTTTTTTGCAGTTGTCTTGACCTCACAGGATGAATCGCTGCTTTGTTTAAGGAGACATACCGTTTAAAGAATAATGCACTTATCCTAATGGCCCCCTTTAAGCACACCTAACCGATCCCTCCCTGCATAGATATGTAGAGGGGAATTAATCAAAACTGGAGCAGACGGAATCTGGAGCAGTTGCCTAGGGCAACCAGTCAGCTTCTCTTTCATTTCAAAGCTTAACTGAACAAACTGAAGGGAGATGCTGATTGGTTGCCATAGGCAACTGCACCAGATTCTGCCTGCTCCAGTTTGTGATGGCCTGACCTCTGTGTACATCCTATGAGGACAGTCTTCCTGGCCAGTGGTGAAGCCAATCCTGTTGACTTCAATGGGGATGTATTGAGCAGGCGATTGGTACATTCCAGACCAGGAAGCATACATGCAGCATTTTTTCCCCCCTGCACCAGAATGGACTGCACTAGTGTGTACACAGAGCCCTGAAATACCATAGGGATGCATCAGGTGCAGACATAAAAACGTTCTGGTCTGGTCATGGTGTGAACAAGTCCTATAGGGGTAAAGGTTTCAGTGTATTTGAAAGTGCGCTCATCAATTTAAGTGCATGTAAACCCAAATGCTAAAATGTAATCTATTGCAGCACATCAGTCCTTGGTGGGCTAGTTCACACCAGACGCAGTCCGTACAGTTTGGCAGCTGTATCAGTCACATCACTTTACATTTCAATGGGCTCTCTGGTGCTTTGTTCCCAACAGTGCAATCTGTTCCAATGCAGTCAGAAAAAATACAGCTCGTCTCATTTTAGCTGCACCTGATTCCAGTGGAATGCATCATGCATGCAAATGCACCTGAAATCCCAAAATTGCAGCAAAACGCATTGCACTGCAGATGCGCATGGTTATGGTGTGAACTAGCCCTTAAAGAGGTGGCTGCATTGGTTTTCCATTATCTTTATTTTTGCCTGGGAGTGAGCACTGTTGTCACCCTGGGGGCTCTCCTAATTTGGGCTGCAAACACATTTATTCTGGTGGGGGAATTTGTAGTTTACACATAAGTTGGATAGAAAGATTCAATTGTATGATATATCAGTTTAATGTGCAGAAGTGACCATGGCAATGTATTTCTGATAAAATTAACAGCTATTTTTCTCTACTTGCTGCAGAAGTAGTCTGAAAACTAAAGCAGCCGCCACATCTAAGAACTGGTGCTCTGCATCATATCACATTTTTGCTCTTGGGTGAACATACATTTTAAACCTGATCTACTGTGAGATTGTCTTCCCTTTCGGTGGGGGTGCCTCACTGCTTGGGTTGACTGCTCATTTGTGCAGAGGGAACAGAAAAAAGCTGTTTCACCCTTCATCCCTGCTCACCTGGAAGTCAGCGCTTTCCTCTTCTCCCCTTCTGGCTGTGGACTATTCCTTTGGCATTCTCATGTACTATTCTGGTCTATGGAGCTTGCATTGTACTTGATGTCAGTGGTCCTTAGACCCCTGGAGAGAAGAGGCTACAGGGACTGGCCTAGCAGCCTGGAGTGAGCTGGCAGGAGCGGGTAAGTAAGTGTTTTCCTGTCTCCTGGGCATAAACAAGTAGTTAACCCTTGGAGTGTGAGGACAGCCCCACCTCAAGGGAAAACATTTCATTTCCCTAGAGATGGATTTTAAAAGCTGTATAATTTGTGTGTAAAGGAAGAGAAGTCTTCTGAGATTCTATTTGTGCCAGGGAAAGAATGTAATTACATTCTATTGTTATACGTACGTTTATATAGTACTCTAGAAATAGGAACTGTTCACTCATGTGTTTTGCTCTCGGTAGAAGGAGAAAACAAGAGTTGAAAAGTACAGGAAGGTTATTAGGATTTCATTCCCCTGTTCTAAGACACACTGCTTGGTTTCTGTGGTGCCTATTAAGACAGTCTACCTATTGACAAATAAAAATAAATGCACCAACACCAATAAAGGAAAAAAATGTGCATCTAATTTTTGCATTGGAGAATGCTGAGCATTGTAATCTCTAACTGGATCACAGGTGACATGCATAGGTTCCTGCAGAATATTACCTGATCCCCAAGGCTGTACAAACCTTTTGATTATGGGGCTAGAGGAAGGAATCCATTTCCTGTAAGTGCCGTGGTGTGTCTGCACTTGTGCTCCATTCAGATCTACAAGTGGTTCTGCTCAAGTGGCAGATGAGACTTGTGGTCTTCTCATTCAGAGATCCTGTGAATAGATCTGAGTAGGTGATGCCACGCACAGCTGCGCCAAATTGAAATACACAAGGAAAAGCTGCCTGCGATTCAGGTAAGTAGGGGGCTTGGGGGATGTGATCATGTTTTGCCCTAAATATGGTCACAAAGGTGGAGTATTCTTTTAAATGAGGGCACTGTAGAAAGAAAGTACAACTTTGATTGTGGTGGGGTGGGCCAGCCATTAACTTTCTAGGAAGGAAAGACTTTCATATTTGAGGCACTGCAGGTTTGTGAATGCTGAATACATTTGGTGGTTTGTGATAACGAAGGATGTATTTAAAAGCTCCCCAAAAGTCTGATTTCTCCTGTGTAGTAACATGGTAATGGTTTCCCTCTCTACCACATCCTATCATGGTATTTATGGTACAGCTTGCCTTTTTTTAGGATGCTCCAACACAGGGATGAAGAATGTCACCTGGGTTGGTGGTTGAGTTTTAGATATCTATATTTTTGTCCATAGTTACATTGAATGTAATTGAATTTAAAGTAATTAAAGTCACCCTTTCTCTGTATCTTCTGAATTCTTAAAGTATACATAAATAACCACTATTGAATACTCTTGGGTGACTTTATTCGCCGTCCTCGCTTCTGTTAGTGGTCCATTTTGTTGTTTTTTTTTACACAGAAGTGCTGTCAGGAATCAAAATACCTTTCTGATGGAAGCTTAGACTCAAACTGCATGCTAATTTCATAGTGAAGAACCTGTTCAGCAGTCAGGTATTTGCCGTGGAACTAAGATGTGACATATAAAGGCCCATTCACACTAGAATGCAGTGCGTTGATGTGCTGCTTTAAAAACATTTAAAATTATTTGGGTAAAATGCACCTCAACGCACAAAAATCTGAGTCAGTCTGCTTTTTTTTTTTTTTAGCCAGAACAGTGGACACTATGCATTGTGCTGTGGTTGTTTGCAGTACATGTGTTTTTTTAAAGTTGGGGTGCCATTGACAATAATTGGCATTATTACACATAATGTGCATCACTGCAATGTCCTTTTTTGAACGGGCTGTTAGATATTGGCAGCTTCCTCCTGACAGGTATTCAGAGTAATAACCATTCTCAGTTTTGTATATGTACAATTTACACAATAGTGCTGCTGCTGTTTTCATGGCTTGGTGAACTGATAACTGCTCTGTAGTTTAGGAGTCTACTAAACCTTAAGCTGGCCATGTACCATGTAAAAAGATTATCTGCAGATTTTCTATGGTCAGATGCAACAGATTCCTCCATCTATGCTAAACTGTGTGGCTGGAGGAATCTCCCACTGGGCCAAGCTTTAGTATCTTGCTAGTCGGCCCTGCTGGCTGTCAAAATATTTGAACAATCTGATTGGATGCAGGCACTGTTCAAGTATATTGACAGCCAGCAGGGCCGACTAGGAAGATACTGAAGCTTGGCCCTGTGGGAGATTCCTCCATCCACACAGTTTAGCGCAGATGGAGGAATCTGTTGCACTTTTTCCATCTGACCAGAGAAAATCTGCAGATAATCTATAGGTGTATGGCCAGCTTTAGGCTTTATTCACCCATGAGCGATTTTGCGCAGAAACACACTACACATAAAAAAAAAAGCATTCCAGCGTAAATAAATGACTTAGTATGCAGGTGTTAAAGTTTCTCAGAAAATAGTGTTATTCATGGCATCAAGATTTTTTACAGACTTTCCAACGCATGGAGGATGGCAGTACCAGGCCACTTTTCCCCAAGTCATCTTTCAGGACAACACATGAGAGGCTTCATCTTTCTAAAACAGGAAATGCATTATCCACGGTCAATAAAAATCAGTCACCTAGTCTCCGTTATTTGTGTTTACTGTGGCCTAACGGGAACATCAAAATAACTTGTTATTTCCCCAGTCATCTTCCAGGACAGCCATCGAGATATAGGCTCCGCCTGCCTGCAACAGGAAACACATCAACCACATTAAATAAATAGACTCCTCCTTCCATCCCAAGTCAGTTTTTGTGTGTTTCCGCCGGCTACACAGGGACATCGTAATGTTTGTTATTTTTAGGGCTCATGTTTGTTTGCCTTTGGGCTGAGCCTTACCCTGCTAGGCATTGGGACCTACTCCAGGCTTACCTGCTGCAGTGCCTACAGGGATTCCCTATCGGACCCCCACCCGATTTCTGGCCAAGGTTCCCTTCCATCACTCAGGGAAGGCAACCATCCTCCTGCACGTGAGTAGGCACCAGATGGTGGCCCCCCCTGGTGTACAGCAGTGGCAAGGTGTAATAACCTGGAGTGTGCGTGTGTCCTATTGTGGACAACTGTCTGGTGACAACAGGGGCAGCATGAAGAGGCGTACGGGGAGGCTGGAGGTAATCCAGGGGTCCCGGATACCTCGGCAGCCTACAGAGCACTTACCTGACGGTAGGGGGAGCGGTGCAGTCGGCGACAGCGTGGGAGGTGTTGGCCTCGCGCGAAGCGCTGCAT